CGTATATAAATTTTAAAACGCGCTTTTTCTTGATCAAAGTAACTATCTAATTCTCGGCCAATTTACAGCACACTTAAAGAAATTGGACCCGGAGAATTAATCATCAGACATTATAAGATTGGCTAAGTCGCGCAGAAATTTTCGTCCAGTGCAACTTACGTAAACGCCGGAGAGAAGGATTAGAAATACAATATATTATTCGATGTGCTTTAAACAAAGCTTTGAACGCGGTCGCTCAATCGAAATGGAATCGGGATACACTTAAACGAATTGCGTTTAGTAGATAAATCATTGGAAACCATAGGATTGATTTGCATATCCGATGGAATATTACGGTATATATAGTGCTTCCGTCTGCGATGAAGGGGTGAATGGAAGAGGAGGAGGGGGTCTAAAGTCAGGGATGAGCATTCTCGAGATTGGCTATATTTCACAGTAACCAAAATACAGGCATTGATTGAATGTACATGACGGAGTGCCGTAGGAGTGAAGGGAGTTTTGCTTTATTGTATGTAATTTGTATATTAGCGCCATTCACGCGTTTATTTCACTCGCGAGATTTCCTCAGTAACGTAAATAAAGATTAATTTAGGAGATTAAGGAATTAATGCGATATTCTACGTATAATAGAATGCAGAGATTAACTGATAAATTATAAGAACGTTTATAACACGTCTAAAAACCGCATCATAAATTGTTTAGATCAAAATGTCTTCTTGTTCACGATTTGACAGTCCTAAAAAACTTTTTTTTCTTGCTTCGTGTCGACCGTTTATGTATATCGATTAACCAAAACAAATTTAATAAATATTGTAACAAAGCATAGATGCAAAATATATAAACTAGAAAATAACATTATGTAACATATCAAAAAAGATTAAAGATATTAAAATAAAGTTAATCGAAAAATTTTGCGCATATTTTTTATAAAACAATATAGTTGCCATTTGTAAATTACATGCAACAGAATGCGTATCACATAAAAAATATTAGTGAACATATAATTAATACAGAATAAAATTAAAGGAAGGAAGACTAATACAGAGGGGAATCAGAATACGAGAATACTCTTGGGCAACCCCGTAAAACGTGAAGCAATAAACTAACATGGAATCTAATGGACTAAATGTCCAAGAGATCGATGCTATTAGATGCTTATTGGATTACCTATGGTCCGGCGTACGTGTTCTTCGACAAGAAACATCTAAGGTACTAATCCAATTATAATAGTTATCGCAAAGATATTACCTATGATATTACTAATGATATTGCATATGAATTGCGAATACGAGTATATCTAGGAAACTATTTCAAATGTAATAAAAAATATCAACAACTTAGAAATAAGATGTCATTTAAAATAAATAAATATAAAACGCATATGTTGTCGGTTATTATATTGTTTAATGATATTTCTTTGTGAATTCTTTTATTAGAAATATGATACTAATACAATCAAATTAAGCTTCATGTTATTAAATTTAAAATAAATTCGTTATATTTTAAAATTTGAAAGAATGACTCGAGCGCGCGCGATTATGTGACGATCCTAAGAGAAATATAATATATAGAAATAAAGATCACGAACGTGAAAACTGTTTGCATTCGCACAAATGTTCATAAAAACACGTCTTTTGTAGTCTACTTTTTCGTTCCACTTTTTTAGATGTGTCTAGTTTGAAATTGCGTGACACTATGTATCGCAAATACGAGTGAAAGTTATGAAACATTATAAGGAAAGTTTTCCAAACTCTAAATGAGAAAAATTGAGGAAGAAAAAAAATAGTGCGATTCAAAGGAGAAAATTGAACACGCAATGATAAATAAGCAAAGAGACAAATAAATATTATTAAATGGGACATCAATGGTTGAAAATATGGAAATTTAAAAAAATAATTCAATAATTCATAAATCATTTTACAGTACAGTTCGAAAAACGACATATTTCCCAAAATATTCTAACTATACATAAAAATTGATTTTTATTAAAGAAAAATAACTAAACACTTAAAATCATTTTAATAGTCTCAACGAAAAGTATTGTGACATTTTCGAATATGTCTTGTGAAACTTTTCATCTAGAATTGTGAATTATACGTACATACAGAAGATATATTATTTCAAATAAACAACATTTTACGCCTATATTAATTTGAATAATTCTATATTCTTACAATTCCTTTCAAAAAAGTAACCAAGTATATAAATTTCTTAAAAAAACTTACTGTTACTGCTTTACAGTTATTATACTTTTTATTAATATTTTATTGATTTTTTCCGTCTAGTAAATAGTTACTAATGCACAATAATCGATAAAAAAAACCTATTAGTATGAGCAGCCGAGTAAAAAGGATGGACTTTTAAGATCCTATTGACTCTTGGGTATAGTCCAAGTATAGTGGACGTATATCATAGAGCACTGAGGAGAGGTTCAAGAACAGAAGACCAGTCCTTTAGCCTCGGGAATTCATTATATAGCGAGTACCGTGGCGCCATTATTCACGCATCTCCATTTGCGTGGGCTACTGTCAGACATGGTGAATTACGAGGACGCTGCGACATGCAAAACTGTTAACACTCGTTAATCGTGGAAACTTTCATAAAGTTCAGAATAGAAGAAACGCAATTCACATACATAAATCATATTTGATAGCGAAGTCATTAATCATGAATGAGTATATTGAACGCTTGTATCATTGATCGAGATGCATCGAATTGTGATATCACAAATCATTTTTTCAAACGCACTCCACAAGGTAAGTTCTACAAAAGCAACTAAAATTCTTATAATAAATAAATATGTCGCATTTAATAATAATGACGAGAAAAAATTAACATCAGCGGTAACAAAAATTTTAATAATGTACAAGTTAAACGTATTCAGTAGACAATGCATTTCTTACAAAAGAACGAAATTCGATAAATAATCGAAGAAGTAGAAGCCGGCTGCTCCCAAAAGAGCTGGACAGGCATCACCCTCCGACGAAACCCAATTAAGAAATGTTTTGTCCAAGCAGCGAGGAGGTAGTGGATATCGGGACAAGAAGAAGGAAAAGAGCGTGACGCGAGCCGAATAAGAGCACGAGAAGAAATGGAGAAGGCCATGCGATCGAATATCCCAGCGTGAGTCCAAGAGGAATCGAATCCTCGATCGAGAATTCGAAGCATATACATATACTTGCTGTAGAAACCGAGGGTTTCGCATAGGCGGCAGAACGGCAGCTGTTTGAGCCCAGCAAATTAGTAGCCGGCGCGTGATTGGTCTGTTGCCGCCCCGTCTATATTGCAATACCATCTTCGCCACACTGCTATACTGCCACGATTGTGAGGGCAAGGCAAATGCTCGGTAATGCCTCCTGTACGTGTGCGTTCACCTTTATCCCCTTTCCGTCTTTTCCTCTAACCCTCTCCGTCGCGCCTCTTAGCACCTCGAAACCCTTCCGCGGCAATTTAGTTGCGATATCTTTATGCCGGGATTTACGAGCAGATAATCATCGGAGGGATGTTCCGGCATTTTTCGGTCAAATTATTATTATTTATATTGCATTGCCCCGCGGACAGCGATCTAATGCCTCGCTAGACATTAATTAACTCGGGACCGACGCGGCGGCCGATATGCCAGAGAAAATGACTCTATTACCTCGGCACTCGTTCAAATTACCGGTGTCTACCAAATATGACAATCCAGGCATGATTCAGTATTCAAAATAGTCACCGAATACATCGAGTTTATTTGCATCTACTTAAAGCTCAAATATTCAAAGTTTGTAGGACATCAATTATCTTAAGAAAACACCGTCTAATTGTAATCTAATTGACTATAGTAAACAAAATCAACTACAATTCAGTTAATATTAATAAACATAATTTAGTTAACACAAATTTTGTGTAAAATATTATAATTGTTATGCGCAATTTATCATAAACTTTATAGCTTCAGTATATACTTTCTTGTAAAATTGCTTTATCTGCAAAGATATACTTTAATTCGTTAATATATCCCAGCCGCGTCTGAGCTGCATATTACAGAAAAGCAAAAGATTATTCGGTGTTGCATAGAATTAAATTACTGGGATGCTTTATGGTTCCCCACTGTCCCAACTACCTCTCCTCGTTTTGCTCCGGGTATATCTACTATCTTCCTTCTCTCATCCCTGTCCTTCGGCTAACTTTGTGTATGTGTTTCTTTTTCCCTTCCCACCTGCCCGTTATCCCTTCGCCATGGTGCGCGATACTTCCCGGAATTGAGTGAAAATAAAACTCTAAGGAGTATAGCACGGAGAGAAAGAGAGATAAAGAGGAAGAGGAGGATTGTAAAGGGAATGAGGACGGAGGGAGCGATCGTCACGGAACTCATGCAGCGTGAGTCGACTTAAGGCACGATCGCTGTTACTGCTGATGCTGCCGTTGCTGGTGCATTGCGAGCAGCGGCGGGGTGGTATCTACCTATCTTGATGCGATACAAGCCACCTTCTATGCGATATAATCCCATTGCTGATGGGATCCGACGTGTTGCGCTGTTCAACGAAACCGTGCTAAGATAGAGGCAGCCGTAAATCCTCACTAGCTACCGTAGTCCTAACACCAACAAGTTTCTTTGCCCTTATAAAGTCTAGACTACTGTCTTGTGATTCGCGACGTTTCTCTCGATGAACTACATTGAGGGAGAAGTTTATTCAATCATGTTACAATTGATATGATTCAAAGATAATTTCGAAATTATCTAATAAAAAGTATTTTATACTTGTACGTAATAAATATGAAAACAATTATTCTCCAATATTCTCATTTTTTATTAACAATTAATTATTTTAAAAATACTTTAATCATCAGATTTTGTATGTCTAGTAAATTATAAAATCAAATTATACTTTTTGTACCATATATCTTATTTCTTCCGTATGTCTTATTTCATAAAAATATAAAAATATTAATTTTAATATTTACTTACTCACGTGACTGCATATCGGCTAAATTGTGTGAATGAATGTAATGCTTACCTGCAACTATGCAAAACAAATTTTTGGTAAGAAATACGTGTAAAATTGTTTATGTGATAGATAAAAGTTATAATTTGTATTAAAATTCAATAAAAGATAAGGTATCAAAATATCCAGAAACGTTCCATCATTATATTCATCAATAAATCTTTTAATCTACTTATGTTATTTAAACGATCGTTAAAATTAATGAGACATGTATAAAGCAGAATAAATTATCCATTCCGATCACAGATACACTCGTTACGCATACAGCGCATAGCTTCATTGCATAGCTTCAGTAGCTTGGTTACGCATCGTTAACGAAGAGATAAAAGATGAAAACCGCACGAGCTACCGCAGATCATGATTTCTATTTGTTACTATTCATTTTTGTTACGTTATATTTGCGCTTAAAACAAAATTGCACCGAATATATTTGCCTGTGAAAATATAATAATAATCATGAAATTTCTATACAAATGTACGGAATAATACAATATTTTGTGTTTTAGTTATCACTCGTTTTCTATACGTATATCGTGATGCAACTGTTGCTGTACCACCATTTGAAAAATGAATGATATTAGTGAAATTGACCGTCTCAGTTGTAGGAAAACCCATTCCAGATTGATCGATATCGAGCAATTTCGAGGAGGGAACTCTGGATCGCGCAGGATAACATTGCGCAGCAGAAAGGAGGAGAAAGGGTGGAATACAGCCTTTCGAAAACCAGGTATTCTGGTCCCTTGCTGGAAAAAGTGGTAGGTTGGGCCTGTTTGGTCGCCATCTCCGCCGGCGTCACATCACGTACCGAGGCTTCCAATGGCGGACCCAATATAACGAACCGTCATCGTGCCGGTGAGAAAAAGTTGGACGATGCTTCTCGCGTACCATCGTACCGCCGATTCTAGCTCACGGGAACGAAGGGCCAGAAGAAAAGCGGAGAACAAATAGAATGAAGAGCGAGAGCATATACGTTGGTAAGTGATTGCAGGAGCAAAAGAGTAAAAGTAGAGACCAGACCCTCATTGGAGCGGCTTTCAACTTTCGTTCCTGACCGCATTCACCTAAGGGGAGGCCCCAAGTCGGGCTAATGGGACGCAATTAAATGATTCTTATCAAAGAGGACCGCCGATCGCGCTCACGGGAATGTCGCGAACTAGATGGCGACGGGAGCATGCTTGAGGATCCAGTTGATTCGCTGACCAGGGATGAGTCTAGAAAAATCTTAGCCACGTCCAATTCCATCTCATTAGTGAAGACGACCACTGATTCTTGTCTCTCTTGTGGTCTTAGCGCAAGAAAAGAAAGCCTTCGGAAGCCATGTATGGAACCGGTCTCCCTTCTGTCTCCCTATCTATACACCTCTATATATTCTGCGGTAATATACCGGGTGTCGCTTGTATACCTCATATTTCTTCTCGCGATACGAATAGCTGTGAAAATCCAACATTCTTGTACGTGAACTGCACTAGAATACGAAGTAAAGAGTATAGGAAAACATTGAACTAAGTCGCTGTGCGTTAAGATTCCAGAATGATACCGCATTTTCTATTCTCCTCTGCTATTCAAAGAGTAAATCTCTATCTCTTGCTCTCTAGCTACTAATTTAATTGTGTTGCTGAACTTTATGGTTCAGCTTTTGTATCGGTCACTGACCGATTCTTCGAAGAGGTAAACATCGCTAATCTTCAATATCTTAATTTTCAGAATAGTTGTATCCTATAGAACTTGTAAAAACGATTCTAACGATATTTACGATTTTTATTCAATGTTTATTCAATGTTCTATGTTTATCATAGAACAATAATGGAAAGATATTCAAATCTATTCTTTAAACAGAACACCCCATATATCTGGCCACGCTTATATTCCGTATGCGCATATATTGTATACCTATACATATATTGTAGCCCATACTTACATGCACCATGCACATGCATGCGCTGCAAAACAAAGCAAGCTCGTTAAAAGGTGCATTGCAACGACTGCACTCTTTGCTCTTCGGTACATCCTACTGCCGGGTCGATCTGTAGTTCCGATTTGCTCAACTAGTTTAGCTTGCTTATTTAAATGTTTTTCACAAACAGATATAAAATTATACTTAAACACGTTTTGATTCCACTCATAATCATAGGAATTATTTGGAAAAAAATTGCCTCAAATTCCTAATCATTGTTTGAAAAAAAACTTCTTTTCCCTTTTTTTCATTGTAAAATCGCATACCATATTGCGAAATGGATTACATGAAGCAATATTTTTGGTTAATAAAAAAGTCGTACAAAATATACATTTTCAAATAAAGAATATTATCATCTTATATTATATAATATAATAGTTTAGACTGAATACTTTTCGAAATAAAAATAAATATGTTTATGTACACACATAGGGATGTTAGTTAACAAAATAAATAAAAAATTTACAAGAAAACTGGTAAATATTCATTTAAAATGTTTATACTTTCTAAACAAGAAATATAGGTATATCTATAGAAATTAATTTTTAAGTCATTATTATTATACGTATACCAAATCACACCTACTTTTAATAAAGTTAATAGAAAAAAAATAATATGTATGATTTCAAGATATTTACTTTTCTATAATAAGGGTGCAATTAGAAAGGATCCATTATTCTTTAATGGAAAAAATAAATTTAATTTTTCATTTATATCGATACACGAAAATATTAAAGGATAAGAGACCGGTAGTCTTAAGGTCGAGATAAAATCCGAACGTTGAAATATTACCTTATTAATGCCGACTACTTTATTAACGTCAAGTGTTCACGCGTGCACAGTTGATCAAGGTGGTAATCAGTATCTCCCAATAAAATTATTTTCGCCCCACGAAACGTTGGCAGAGACCGCTTTACTTGTCGATAAAGAGCGGATTCTTCATAAGCCCACCTAACCACATAACTTTCGTGCTGGCAGACAAGAAGAATAAAAGAAAATATAGAAGGTGATCGGCCTTTCCTCGAGGTGGAGTCATGCGAGCGGGCTTGTAGACCTGGTTGTAGAGAAAAAGAGGAGAAGGGCAGCAGAGAAAGAGAAAAGGATCAAACGGGCTTAAGGTAAAGAGTGTGTAAGAAAGAGAAGGAACAGAACGAGAGAGAAAACAGAAAGAGAAAGAGAGAAAGCTTCGAGAGAGAAGAACCAACCGGGCAGACATAGCTCTCGAGTTTGCACGACGAGTTTATGCGATTTTTACACTCGATCTGATTTTTTGGCGGCGCCCCTCGCTCTCGTAAGACAGATATATATCCCATGGCTATACAAGAGCCGCGCGTATAAAGACATCGAAGCGAAGCCAACGAGAATTTCTCATCCCATTCCCTTCGCGTTTCTCTTCTCCCCGCGTCAGCCTCCTTCTCGATTCTCGTTGCCCCATCCCGTTTGCCACCATACTTGGTATACCTTTCTTTTCTACCAACCGCTTCCTTTCACCTCCTCCTTTTTCACCTCCTTCTACTCCGGGCCCAAGATGGGATACAAGAAGACGAAAAATCGAAGGGCCTCGCCCATAACCGGTTCAGTCTTTCTCTCATCATCGTACTTTCCGACTCTCTCTCTCTCGACTAACCGCCGTTCTAACAACATGCTGACCTGCTCTATATTATAGACTATAGATAATCTGCTTCTCTCGGTCAATCGCATGTATTATTGCACATTTATTAAAATATGTGATAACACACGCAAAAAATAAGAATCAGTTGTTTTATTATGTCTATTCAATTTTTATGAATATTCTGAATCTTAAAAGAAATCGTAATGTGCGTATGCATTAAATTGCAATTAATACAATGAAAAAATAACTATACAAATTAAATAAATTTTTAATTAGCTTTACATTACTATGTAGAATAAAAATAACAAACGAGAAATAATTATTATTTGCGGAAAAACAGTAAAAATGAATAAAAATATTTTTATATAATTTTCTAGTTCTACATAATTTAATTTCTAAAGATGTTGCGTAAAAATTATTTGAAACAAAAAAATAAATCGGTTTCATACAAACGGAATTTTAATTATATTTTAAATTTCCTTTATTTTTTATTTTCCTTATTTTCAATCGCGCGCGCGCGTTATCTTCAAGAGATTGCCATTAATCTAGCCTTTAAACTGTTATCTGTTCAAATCAATTGGAACTAAATTAATTTATACGTTTCATATTAAAATTAATATAGTCTATAGAACTGTATTTGAGTATGGTATATATTTCGACAAATTTTCGTTAATTCATAAATTTTAAAAAATTTAATCTTATAATCTTACGATCAATAAACGTGTGAAAAGAAGTACAATTGTTAATATTATTCAAACCAAGAAGAAAGACCTATACAGGTAGACGTAGGACACAAGTATGCAGAATAAGTACAACGCGTATGGACCAACCTTCCTGCATACATAACCAACGACGGGCAAGAGTGTAAAAGCGAGACCAAAGAGTTAAAAAGAAAAAGCGCATAGAACAGCATCCACTCATCACGTGGCGTGTAGCCGGCTTTTACATAAGTGACCATGCCGCTTGGCGGTGAGAGCGAACGAACGCTTTTACAACTCAATGTTAGATACTGAAGACTTCTCGCGGCTCTCTCTCTCTCTCTCTCTCTCTCTCTCTCTCTCTCTCCCTCCCTCTCCCTCTTTATTTACCTTCATGTCTTATACCTTGCTCTAACCTTAACCTCCAACTACATGAGTGGGTCATTTGGACCCAGGTGAAAATTTTAGTCGACCACTATTTTTGTACGATTAATATTGCAAAGTTGAAGTGAGGAGGTAAAAAACTTTCTCTGTGTTGTGTCGATCACCATGATGCAATTGTTTCGTTGTTGTTTTAACGCTAATTGTGATGCAATAAAAGTTTGGTTTAGACGACTTGGACCCGTCAAATGTAAATTCGACAGATTTTTGTCGAAAGTGAAAATTCGTTTTTAGTAAGTGCCTGTTTATTAGTACTGTATTTTTTCAAATGTATGTGTTGTTTTCTTATAAAATATATACATAAAATATATTG